ACCTTACTCACAAAGCTATCGTTGCTTGAATTGTGAGATTCCTTTTCCATTAGAACTAAAGTACAAATCATTAATAGAAGTAAGTGAAGGGATTGATAATCGTAAAGTATTCGTCGAAGATAAAATCAAAGTTAGGAAAAAAAAGAATTTCTCCATACTGAAATAAAAAGACATTATATTTTTATACGCAATTTGACAATTTATATCATGATAATATTTAATCCAATGAATTTATAATTCATTGGATTATTATATAACGTCTATGAGTGTTAAACAAACAATAGAGAGAACATAAATAGAGAAGGGGTCGGGGGAAAGGAAAATGATGAAATGTTATAATTTCAACAATGCCTTAGAATTTAAGTGTTCCATTTTAATTTTTAAATTAATTGTTAATGATTTTATTGAATTATTTTATTAATATTATGTTAATTTTTTGGCAGATATATAGAAGTAGGAGGAAATTGTATGACATATTTCGAGTAATCTGCTGTGCTCTTTTTACATTTCTCTGTATGATAATATATGATTTACTTATGGGCATTTTAATCGTAATTTTATTTATTTTGGTTATAAAACATTTAAGTTATAAAAGATATTTCGAGGCCATCTTTACCGTCGTTGCCTATATCATCTTGTCAATTCTTCATATTGTTCTAATGCAGTACCAGATAAAAATACTGCGGGGTGAGATTTCCAAGTACGTTCAAATAATTAATTGCATTATTTTACTTTTTATTTTTATTTTTCTTTCGGATTTATATTGATATACACGATATTTTATGTTTCTTTATGAATTTAAATTATTTTCGTTAATGCGTTACTTTCACATCTTTGCGTATTGATCGGAACTTTTCGATGGTTCTTAGAATCTTGAAAACTCATCGGAAAATCCGAGAATCGCGACTTTCGTCACTTCGATCTTTGCTCAAGATTAATCATAACACAATACATTGTATTGTGTTATACAATATACAAGTTAATCCATAATGAAATTAATTGAATTAAAAGATAAGTTAATAAAAAAAGTAATTTAAAAGTTAAAAGTTAAATTTGATCCGAACGAACAACCAAAAAAAAAGAAAAAGAAAAAGTTTGACCATTGTACATAAGTTTTTTAAGGATAGAAAAAATTTTTTTACAAGTTCTGAGTATATCGTCTTCTGGTTTTGACATATAGAGTAACGATCCATTTGAACACTTGGAATTTTGCTAAAATCAACCTTGAACTCGAAATTTGGTCATTTTTTCATTAATCAGGCTGTATTTCTTAAGGCGTATATCGTAGAGCTAAATGAATTATTGCATCGTGTTCAGCGACCAAAAAAACATACAGTATCACATTTAAAATCCGGATTAAGTCATTTTTGCATCAAATCAAACATATATTAAGGAAAATCGAAACTTTGATTTAAGAATCGTTCACAAGCGACCTCTAAATCTTAATATTTTTTGATAAAAATTTAGAGATGTTCTTTTGGCTTGAAGTGGAAGCTTTTGAGCTGAGAGGCCGATTAAAACAAAATATATTTTTTTCTTACAGTTAGATAATTGAGATACATTAGATATAACTTTGTGTTGGAGTTTTTATTATAGCGTCAGTTTGCCAGGTAGATATTACATATATTCTACAATAAGTTATACTTTAAATCTTAAACTGTAAGAAATTGACAAGTCATAGTCAAATGTGAGTAGAATAATCGACTATGGTTGGTTAAATTTTTATATACGGTTTAGCCTATTTTGTAATTTTTAAAGACCGTAACTATTAAACCATTCGACAATTACGCAAGCATAGTTGTAGTTGTAAGAATTAACTAATCACAATCAAATATGAGAAAAATATTCGACTGTGATTAGTCAATTCTTAGAATTACAACCATTTTATACAACTACGCTTATGCAATTGTAGAATGGCTTTACAGTGACTACCTCAGCAGAGCAATAAGTCATTAATGATATCAAAATAATGTTAAAATGACTCCAAAATCATCATTAAAAGTCATTTTTCAATCATTTCCGATTCATTTTTATGTCATTTTATGTCACGACGTTATCGTGACTTTTTGTATAGGATAAAAAAACTGCGCAACGACAATATAATGTCACACAATGAAGGAAATATTAGGAATAGGAATAAATATTAAGATTTCAATGTGTCGGAAACCAGTTACACCGAAATTTGTTTTCTAACAGATTGAAACCTTAATATTTATTCCTATTCCTAATATTTTCTCCATTGTGCTAAATCCTAGTATTATCCAATTACGGTTATTACAGTTGTTTTAAAAGTTACAGATAAATAGGCCTCTTACTGCAGCTTAGATAATGATTTATTGTAGAAAGCTCATTATTCTGTATAAAATTTGTTGCTTTTCAGCCATCGCAAATTGGTATTGTGCTCTAAATGTCTCTACAAGCGTTTGGCTATCTGGGGGTACATAATTTTATATTTTTGTTAAGAAAAGCTCAATTTAAAGAACTTGTAGATAAATTATGTGAGATCTTCCGTGAATAAATATATTATCGTAATAAAGTTATATTTATCAAATGAAGAGTTTTTCATTGTAATTGAAAAACTATTAAAACATTTTGATATTTAATAATTTATAATTAAAATAGGTAATGAAGCAATTTTATCTGTTTATTTTTTATCTGTGTTTATAGTTTACGTAATGCTCGTATCCAATGGTTCCTGAGTATTAAGAAGTGGAAAGTCATAAAACGCAATTTATATTATATTTGTCATGAAATCTGAATTTTATAAATTAAATGTTATTATTATCCACACAGAGTATACTTGTATAAATGCTTTAACGAAATTGTTGTAACGATATTATAATAATCATCATAACAAATTATGTATTCTTTATAGTTTTATTTATTAATAATTAACAAATTAATTATAATATAATCATGATAAAAAATTATAACAACCAATATAAAAATCAAAATCATTTAGCTTTAATTATAAATTATAACAGTTATAAAACTGTTATGATGTAGTTATTATAAAGTTATAACCGTAGAATTTTGTTAAGATGTTTTATAATTTTTATAATAATAATTTTATAATTATATGTACATTGTAAAAGAAGCAACTTATTCTTAAATTTTCAGAAATATGAATAACGATGTATCAAATATAAAAACAATTTGTCAAGTTTCTCTTCTTGAGTCAACATAAAAAAAAATGTTGAAACTAATATTTCTATAATAATTATCATAACAAAGTTATAATGCAATTATGACAAAGTTATAAGTGTTATAATAACTATTATAACAAAACTATAATATTTAAATTATTTATCGGGAATTATAATAATACAATTAATTATTATTATAACAAAGTTATGATTCCGTTATTATAGCAAAGCTAGAACAATGGAATTCTTATTAGATATTTTATTATTAATTTTTTATACAGCACATTAAAAAAACTAGTTTATTTTTCATATTTCCAGAAATATGAAAGCAATGTACAATATCAAATAAAAAGCCTGCAATTTGTAATGTTTCTTTTCTTGCATTAACATAAAAAGAAATTCATATTCAAATTAAAATTTTTAGAAATTATACACGTATCAAATATACAATTGACAAAATTTCTTCCTGATTATATAGAAAGAAATCGCATTTATTTTTAAATATTTTACGAGTATAACATGTATAACCATTTATTTTCTTAGTTAAAATAATTCAGATGTTAAGAGAAAAAAAACAAGCAGTTTTTTGAATGAGCATTTTTTAAATATTTGTAAAATAATCGAATAGCAGATATATTCGGGATTATAACAAGAATAATAAATATATGTATCATATTCAGATCTGTCTGTAATTTTAATTTTCTTTTTTCTTACTTGATTATATTCTCCTGATGGTTTTTATTTTATACATCATATTTATTTATGTATTATATTATGATAAGTTTTCAGTAAACGAAATTTGATGTGGATTCAAATTTTTAGAAGTATTCATTTGCGAACGTTAAAATAAATCCTCTTCAATTCCAATGCATTTTTATTCATTTATACACTCAACAAGAAATAGGGAACACTTTCGAACAGGCTCAAAATTGCGCAATATTCAGAATACCGTAACTCAGTGAAAAACATCGCAGATAAAAAATCAAAAAAGCATTTAAAAACTTGAAATCTCTACTTTTGAGGTCGGTAATTGATATTTCAATCTGATCCTTTACGGAGATATACGAGTAAATACCCATCAAATCTGAAAAATTTTTACAAAAATCTATGGCGTGAAGTAAAATTTACACAAAAATGCGGTTTACAGCAATCAAAAGAGTCAGTTTTTACCTTCAATTTGCTTTTTTTATTGAGCTTTGTACGATTTTTTTTCACCGAGTTATTGAACGTTGAAGCAAAAGTGATCAATCTAATTCTGATTTTTTAATAGAACACAACTATGTTACGTCATAGAGTGACGTTATGTTAGAACACAAACTAAGTGTAGGAACCAATCGTATTAAAGAATCACTAAGCGCTAACTGATTAGTTTTCTAACGCAGCCAGTGGCTGCGTTCAGCAGAACGTTCGTTTTGCAACTCTTGGAAGTTTCCTTCGCGCTAATTGGATCATACTTTTAGATCTAGAAGAATGGTCCTATCTCAGCAGACAATGGCTAAGTTTCCATCGAGGGTTAGAGTTGGGTCAGAGTACAAGAACTGACCAACCACAGTCAAGCATTCCCCTGTCATTCGACTATGACAGGGGAATACTCGACTGTGATTGGTCAGTTCTTGTACTCTGACCTAACTCTAACCCTCGGTGGAAACTTAGCCAATCATAAAACGGTTGCAAAACTGTTGAGTCTGCTGAACGCAGCCAGTGACAGTACAAACAATTTCCGTTTCCGAAAAATATGCCCCATGGGAAGCCAGCTGCTACTTAAAATCGGAACGGAACGATGCTGATTGGTTGGTCCTACCACTTCATCTTTCCGATTCCGTGTTCCGATTCCGTTTTTCGTGTCCATGGAACAGCACCCCGACAAGTGACACCATGAAATTGTTTATTAATGTAAACGCGATATTTTAAAGATTAACCGGATTAACGTTATATACACGTTATTGAAATACTGAAAGTCTAACCATGGCGGATGTTTTGGACATCGATAACGCTGAGGAGTTCGAGGTTGATGACGAAGGAGATCGTGAGTCCTGTTTCTTCATTATATTTTGCGAACATTGTAACCTCAACTTCGTACCGAGATTCGATCATTTCACTTTATATTTATGTCCCTTACTAAACCGAGCACGGTGTCTCTCTATAAAGTTATTAACAAATTTTATTAAAATTGAAGGTGTAGCTCAATTGAATGATTACTAAATTTTGAAGTAGCGATTTTTTTGCAATTATTCAATGTCCAATATTGATGGTGCAAGTATTAAACTTATTTGAAATCGTTAGACTGGAAATGTGGAAGAAATAACAATAGTACTCAGATCATAACAATGTGAATGATGTAAACAATTGTTTTGATTGGTATGTTTCCAGAGGGTATCGCGCGTCTTAAGGAAAAAGCGAAGAAAAGGAAAGGTAGAGGCCATGGCGCGGAATTGGTGTCTACGAGAGACGATGTTGGTCATTACGAATCTATGAATCTTATTGAAGAAGACAACAATGAGCCTGGTCCTCAGAGATGTAAGTAAGAACATCTTTGTCATAGTTGTAATTCAGTTTAGATTACAGAATTTATTTTTTATTTTTATTTATAAGATCAAAACAATTAATATTCTTCATACATTTTTAGCTGTGGAAGGATGGATCTTATTTATAAATTCAGTACATGAAGAGGCACAGGAGGATGATATTCAGGACAAGTTCTCCGAGTTTGGCCAAATCAAGAACTTGCATTTGAATCTGGACAGAAGAACGGGATTTCTGAAAGGCTATGCGTTGGTGGAATATGAAACTTTTAAGGAAGCACAAGCTGCGAAGGAGGCTCTAAATGGTAAAGACATCCTAGGTCAAGCTATCTCTGTCGATTGGTGCTTCGTTAAAGGACCAAAAAAGTAAGTATTATTATGTAATTATTTACATGCAATTATTTAAAGTGATATATTTGGATTTACATCGATATTTATATTCTATATTTTTCTATTTTTATAGAATCAGGAAAAGAAGTCACAGAAGGCGATGAGTTATAGATTAATCGTATCTTCTATTGTGTACCGTTATTTCAAGCAAGACAAGTTATTTTATATCTGATAAGCATTTTTAAAGATGCTCGAAATAACTGTAAATTATTTTCTTTACTAAGATTTTTGCTCTTTTGTCCTATATATCTATATATCATAATCTATCCAGATGTAAAGAACTTTGTATACTATCATTAGTAAATAGAAGATCATAAATATATCATCCAGATATAGTCTCTTGTATAAGCGAGAACATTAATATTTTATGTGAATATCTCAGTTTGTTTTCTTTCATATATCTCTTATCATCTAGCAATAATTTTTGGTTTCACAATTATTACCATGCTTTGTACCAGTTCGCGTAAATGTTATTAAAATCTTATTTTTGTAGTGTGATACAACTTATATATACAGGCCATTTTAATCAATACACTCGAATATCTCGTCAGGTAAGCAAGATAGCGAAAAATATTTCAGATCAAAGTTGTATGGCTTTGAGAAGGACATAAAATGGTGGCATTAATTTCACCTTGAATAGTTGCTTGAAGGTCACATGAAGATTACCTTTAATTTCTTAAACGGAAACCTTTATTTTTCATTGCATATTCTTGTAGCTTACCTCGAGAGCTTTCCAAAACACTATAATAAAATATTTTTTCATCAAGTACCTTTTTAATTACGATGCTCGAAAGTTACAGTACCTCCGGTATTTAGCATTATCCAAGGTGTCCGACCGACAGCTAAAATCTCTTAAATGTTTAAGGTCATGAACTAGATAACATTTGTTAAGATCAAGGCCATTGGAGGTTGTTCTTATTTTCATTTTTACACTAAAAATTTATTTTAATGTAAAAATGAAAATAACATGTATAACTTCCAATGGCCTTGATTTTGATAAATGAAGACATGAATTTGTGGCAAAACAAGCGTAACATTTTTTAATTGTCTTAATACATGCAACTTTGAAGAGTATTTAGTCATTTTTTTTTGTGTATTTTATACTTGTCGAAAAACGAGAAAGTATGAAGGTTAGAGATGTTCCTATATTTATTATACAAAAGATATATCTTAATAAATAAATGACGCGACACAGCGTATTAAGCATAATAATTCAGGTTTGCTTTCTTTTTTGCTTGGACTTCATTAATAGCTTCCATCAAATCTTCATGAGTGACTTCTGTTGCATTGCGCCGTAATGCTATCATACCCTGAAACACATAATGTCTTTATCATTATTCTAATAAATTATATATCCATATAGTAAAATCAAGTAGGATAAAGCATTAACTGAATGGGGCAATATGTTAATTCTTGAGTAGTATGGTTTAGATTAGAATTAAAAAGGCATATTAGCGAAATATAGATAGAAGAGAAACAATTTTATATTTAACGTTGAATTAAAGAGCAGTTGATGCTTGCTATTATTGATTAATTCTGAACTTAAATGCTTACCGCTTCTACGCAGACAGCTTTACATTGTGCTCCATTAAAATCATCCGTAGATCTGGATAATTCTTCAAAATTTACATCAGGCGACATATTCATTTTACGCGAGTGAATTTGCATAATGCGTGCTCTGGCCTCCTCGTTGGGATGCGGAAACTCGATTTTTCTATCTAAACGGCCGGATCGTAGCAAGGCTGGATCCAAGATGTCGACTCTGTTTGTTGCGGCAATCACTTTGATATCAGCGGTTGAACTAAAGCCGTCCAATTGATTTAATAACTCTAACATCGTACGTTGTACCTCTCTATCTCCCGCCTTTTCCGAATCAAAACGTTTTGTGCCGATAGCGTCTAGTTCATCGATGAATATTATCGCTGGAGCTTTTTCTTTGGCCAATGAAAACGCATCTCTGACCAATTTAGCACCATCACCAATAAACATCTGTACCAATTGTGGACCAGCCAATTTTAGGAAGGTAGATTTTGTTTGGGCGGCACAGGCTCTAGCTAATAGAGTCTTTCCGGTTCCAGGTGGACCATAAAGTAGAACGCCCTTGGGGGGCTGTATTCCTAGGTTCTCGAACTTCTCCTTGTGCGTCATAGGCAATACAACGGCCTCGATGAGTTCCTGAATTTGTTTGTCTAGTCCACCGATGTCAGAGTATTGCTCTGTAGGTCTCTCGTCTACTTCCATAGCCTTGACTCTGGCATCATATTCAGCCGGTAGAGTCTCCAGCACAAGATAACTGTCTTTATTGACACCTACCAAGTCACCTGGTTTCAGCGATTCAGCGTCGACCAGACCGATCACAGGCAGGAAGTATGTTTGACGAGTTGATGTCTTTATAACTGCACATTTACCCTTTCTTTGTGCATCTAAATCAACCACTGCTCCATCTTCCTCTCCCATATCTTGTGGGTCGACATCTAATAGCTCGATGACATTGGATACCAGGTACGGAAGGGTTTTATTCACCTTAATCTTCTCGGTATTCTCCTTGATCTTATCGTTCTGCGCCTGAAGCTCATGTGAAATCCGCATCACCTCGCTCTTCATTATCTTGATTTCATTATCTAACAGTCGTGTACGCGACACGATTTCGTCCGTAGACATTCGTAGGACGTCCTCTCCTAATGTTTCCTATGAAAGACACAGTATATATAGTCCTTCATTTTACAAAGTTCTTTACAAAAAAATTTAAATTGTTTTTTTAATTGAGAAGGTATAACTTTGTTGATTAGTGATGAATAAAAAATTCAAGTATTATTTTTATTCTTTATAGTTCAGAAAAAATTACAGACAAAACGAAATAAAATAAGCAATAACATATTTTAACTAAACTATTTCTCTTTATAGTCTGTTTTGTGAAGTGAAAAATATTAATTATTCATTATTACTGCAATAAATCTTTAGATCTATTTATATTGAAAAAAATTGATTAACTTAAGTGCTTAGCGACAGCTAAAGAATTAATATAAATTCCAATAATTTAACAGGAAAAATGTATAAACATAAACACTTGTTTCATAGATATTTGTATTTTACAAAACATCCTAGATTAAGCCTAATTTCATCGAAATCGGAGGTGAGGGAGGTATTCTGAATAATTACCAACATCCTTTTTATTTGCATTTAAGTTAAGCAAGTTTTCTAACTACGCAAACAGAAAAAAATGAATTGATTGTAAGAGAGTTAAAAGAGACAACTAAAGAAAAAAAGAAGCAAAAGGAAATGGGAAAAAAAAGTTATATTAATCAATTTAAATGTTGATCGTTGGTCGTAAAGTATAACAGGATATAGGTATATATACACTTAGATATGCTTGTCATTCGTGCCATAACCTGCAAAATGCAGAATCGCATACCTCTCCATCCTCCCAGATAGATTTATCCTCGAGTGTGGCCATTTGAAAGTTACGAAAAACTTTTCGCTGACTAGCTCCGACTCTTCCTGACTGACTGCCCTGCGATTACACGCAAAAAATTCTTCAAAAATAAATTCCGAAAGCAATCCTGCGCTCTTTGGACAGTTCAGAATAGAAAATCTGCTACTCGCGATAGCAGTCGTGTCAACCGTGATCATACCGACCGATCAAGAAACAGTTAAAAATAATATGGGGCAATCTCAGAAGATGGCCATACTTGTCGCGTTTCAATTGCTCTTTCGCCTAAATGTTTATTTTTTTCTTTTGATATTACATGCATGTATGCATGTATATTACTTCATGCTATTTTCTTTCAGAGAGAGTAACTCCGATTAACTTTATACTATAATTTTATACTAACTTTAATTATTAATTAATTTTAATTGTTAATTTTATAATAATTAATTTAATCAGTGATTAATTCAATTGGAATTGATTACCATAAAATTTAAAATTATATAATTCATTGATTTTAATGAAATATTTCTTGCTACATATTAATTAAACAACAAAAAAATTGATTATTCTGTCTTTGTTAACCAAATAGTATCTGTATAAGGTATTGATAATTCAATCGTCGATTAAATTAATCAGAGTTTACGAGCTTGAACTTAATATATTAATCAAAATAGGCGATTTCAGAAACTATTTATTTTTGTTGAATACATTTATTGAATATTAATGTACTTTTTAAGTAACAATTATCAAATAATCAAAAATTTATAATTCTTTTCCTTCCTTTCTTTTTTTCTATATTTCTTTTCCAAATTTTCTTTTTTACAATAATTAATAATACATGTATGATTTTTTTTAAGATAATTTTAATTATTATGAAAAACATTTATGCGAAAAAAATTATTAAAAATAACTATTTAATATTTTTTTTTTTTTTGACAAATTTGACTTTCAATGTATCAATTATAAAGGTACAAGTATATACGCAACCTTTTTATATGTGTGGAAATTGAATGTTCCAATTTTAATTAAAGATATTACTTTTTTATATGTAAGCAGAATTTTTTTATTTTTGTATATAAATTGCTTCAAATACAAACGCACAGCTGTGTTTTTTATTAAATGTGACTGCAGCTCTATGTAAAATTATAAATAAATTTTTAAATGTTGGTTGGAGGAAAAGTTCTGTATTTTGTTAGCTCAAAATTATATATACAATATTTATGTTAAAAATGAACAAAATTTAAATTTTAAAAAAGTTTGAAGCTTGAAAATCTCTACTTTTGAATGGTTATTATATTTTTTAATTTATGTAAATTTTGTAATTTTTATATATAGATAACTACGAGCTGAAAAAAAAAAGGGAAATTTTTCTTCTCCACTTCAGACCATTTTGTGAGTCTGTCACGTGCCAAAAAATTTGCAAAAATTTTCGACTATCTATATCGTGAAAGTTTGGAGTTTTCCTTACAAAATCGTTTATTAAAAATGTTTCTATGATTTTTTGTTCTTGAGTTATTCGTGAGTTAAGTGAAAAGGAGCATTCCGACTTTAATTGCTCATAACTCCATTAAAAATCATTTTACTACAGTTAAAAAACAAGATTCATAACATGGAACGAAGAAAAATGGAGACATTATTCGATGAGATGCATCGGCAAGTTTGAGGATAATGACACACTTGGACATGTGTGGGGTCCGCAATACAGTCACGCAAAGACGCGCCGTTTATACTTTCACTGAGTTTTGCATATGAGGGCTGCATTGTTTGTACGTTTTCTAAGGTATATTGCGGCTTACATCTCTGGGAGGTGCACCTACGGTTTCAAGCTAATCGGAAAGTAATGAGTTTGCAACGGATAGCTGCAGCTTTCATTAAACTCTATTAACGCTAATTAGAGAATAATTGAAGGCTAATTACAGAATAATTGTGGCATATAAATAAACATCTACACGAGTCTGCGGTGAGGATAAGTTAATAAGTGAGTTAATTTGCAGACCGATGTATATCGCATTGTAGTTTGAACACCGAATCTTACTTTAGGGACGAGTCGTAACTTGTCTCAGTACAATAATTTTTAATCACGATTGGGCTTTATGAAATGCAAAATAGCATTGCAATGAATTGTTAAATTGCGTGATATTTCGCAGAGTAGATAATGCAATTGAGAAACGTATCGTCCAAGTAATTTCGTATTCTTCGTAAATATTTACGTTTCAATAATTTGCTCTATAATTTAAT